TTTAAAAAACTGTTGTAAAAGACATTGAAATTTCACTAGTTTGGCTGGGCAGTGGTAGCACATACCTTTAGTCCCAGCACTTGGGAGGCAGAGACACGCAATCTCTGAATTTGAAGCCAGCCTGAGTTCCAGGAGAGCCATGGCTACACAGAGGTACCCTGTCTTGGGAGTGGGCGGGAACCATCATCTTTTTCCTACTCTTTTGAAATAAGGTCTGACTTTGTAGCCCAAGCTGACCTTGAACTCACATCTGGCAGGGCTGGAGAGATGGCTCAGCTCTTAAATAGCACTGACTACTCTTCCAAAGGACCTGGATTCAGTTCCTAGCACCTACATGGTGGTTCACAACCATCTGTAATTCCAATTTTAGGGGATCTGGTGCCCCCTTCTTGTAGTGGGTAGCTGTTACAGCTTTGACCTGGAAGTACTAACCCCATTGAGGCTTCGGTAACTGTCACACCTACAAGGCGAGGCTGAGACAGGAACCCTTAAGACCCAAGATCCGGATGTGCTGCCTTTCTTGGTTCCTGGAAGTTGGAAGTAGACAGAGCAGAGTTTTCCAGAGAACACTGCTGGACTGCACTACACCTTTCCCAGACCCTGTAACCTATCCCTTTACTTGTAAGTTACCTCCACAAAATAAACCTCCCTTTTAACTACGTGGAGTTGCCTTAATACTACAACCGATACCTTCTGGCATATGGTGCACAGATACACATAAAATAATACATCTTTAAAAAAAAACTGATGTCTTGGCATCTTAACTATTAAGTATATTGTTTGGTAATTTGAGTATATTTATAAAATCAATCTCCAGAATGTCCTTCCTTTTGCAAAGCTGAAACCATATCCCCATTAAAACACTACTCTCCATTCCTCCCTTTCTTTAGTCCCTGGCAATTGTCATTCTGCTTTATATGAATTTGGCTTTTTATGACTGACTGACTTCATTTTTCTTTGTCTTAATCTCCTCATTTATTTATCCATGCTGTAGCCTGTGTCAGAATTCCCTTTTAAATGCAACTGGAGATAATCATTAAGCAAATTAAGCCATTCCCAAATGAGGGTTTGTTTTTTTTTTTAATCATTTGTGGTTCTTAATTTTCTGCAGACCATCCAGTCATGCATTGTATATTGACATGAAAGTAGAAGCAAAGCAGAAATGTCTGGAGAAGGAAACGTGACCAGTGGGAAGGGGAAGGAAGGAGGAGGCAGAGGGTAGGGTGTGGAGTTTACTTAACATCATAAAACATACCCTTGTATGAAAGTGACCTTTCAGTACACATTACCTGTATAGTAAAATAGTTTCCTAATTTTTTCATTTGACTTTTATGTTAATGGGTGTTTTACCTGCATATATGTCTGTGTACCACATATGTGCAGTACCTTTGGAGGTGATACAGTGTCAGATCCCCTGAGACTGGAGTTACAGATAGTTATGAGGCACCATGTGAGTGCTGGGAGTCCAGCTGGGGTCCTCTGGAAGAACATTCAGTGAGTGCTCTTAAACACTGAACCATCCTTCCAGCCTGTTGATCTAGTCTTGAACTTTCCCAGATCATCCTACCTTTTGTCATCTCTCCGGGATGATCTGTACTGTTCCACCTGAACTTGCTTCTTGCTGTAACCACAAGTCTCCACCAACACCACCCATTCTCAGTTGAACCATGCACACTCCCTATATGTACAGTCTGTCTCCATTTTGATCTTTTTGAGTGGGTATTTTTTCTTAACTCCTTTTTCCTCTATCTAAGGCAAATATCTCTCTTTTTTCTTTTTTTCCTGGAACATTTCATGATAAAAGCAATTTCCTTTATAAAAAGTTGCCTCCACATCTTTCCGTGAGATACCTCTGTTCTCTTCAAAGTCTGTGAGTGACCCTTTATGGTAGTTTTGGTTGGTTGGAGGGGTAGGTGAGGGTTATGTTGAGACAGGGCATCATATATAGCTCAGGCTAGCTTAGGTTGCAGTCTACTTTGTAGCTGAGGATGACCTTGAACTACTTCCACTGCCAAGAGTGTTGGGATTATAGGAATGGGCCACCATTGTATGACAAAACTTTTCCCGAGGAGATGAAAGATACACATTACTCACCTCAAAAATCGAACTGGGTGAACCACTGAGTTCTATTGGGGCTACTTACAGGAATATGGGTGAGGGGTTACTTACAGGAGCAGAGATAACTCAAAGACAGCTGCACCACCAAAGTCCATTCCAATACAGATGACAGTTCACAAACCTAGGAACCTGGAGCACACTGTACAGCCTGCAGGCAGCTCAATCAGGTTGGAGACCAGGTGCCTCAGCTGGTGTAAATGTCTTCCAGGTAGCTGGCAAGTTTCTGTGTCTTCCAGGCAGCTGATCTTGTCTCAGAGATTTCTTTGGAGCTCTGTTCACTAGCCTCACAAGGACTCTTATTTTTTATTTTTCCCCAGAGCTGAGGACCGAAGGGCCTTGAGCTTACAAGGCAAGCGCTCTACCACTGAGCTAAATCCCCAACCCGGACCCTCACCTTTATATCTTACTCTGGTGAGGAGGGGCCTGGAGAATCTGGTCAGTTTCAGTGACTTCTTAAAGTTCCCTTGAGCTGTTTACCTTCCTGTCCAAGGAGCTTCCCTGCAGGATGCAGTGTTACAATCTCAAGGAAACTGCTATGCAACAGCCATTAACCTGGCAATTGTTGTGCTTTCTTTTTTTGTTTTTTAAGGCATGGTCTCACTATTATAGCCTTGTCTGGCCTTGCAGTTCACCATGTAGGCCAGACTGGCCTTGAACTCAGTAGAGAACCACCTGTCTACCTCCTAGAGGGACAGGATTAAATGCCTGGGCCACCATACCCAGCTTCATTCTTAGTTCTTGGGTGCCACTGTGTCGCACACAGCGCTGTCCTGTTGCGCACAGTGCTGATAGCACTGCAGTCTAAGGCAGTTCTTGCTTCAGCTCGTCTCCTTTAGGTCCCTGTGTGTTGTTTTCCCTGCTCACTTCTGGCTGAAGTAACTGACCTCAGTATGGTTAGGCTGGTGGTGTTAAGTTTCTTTGTTTACTTGTTTTTACTTTATTTTACTTAGTCCATTTAGTTTTTAATTTACTAATTGTTGGTGTTGATTTTCTTTATTTACTCACCATGTGGGGTGGAAAGTGAAGGTAGAGCTTGGGATCCTCTTCTCTCCTTCTACCATGTGGGTCCCTGGGATTGAACTCAGGTCTTCAGGGTTGGTTTGCCAGCGAGCACCTTTGTCCGCTGAGCCGTATTAACTAGCCCCTTGGTTGGTTGGTTGGTATTTTATTTTTGTTGTTGTTTTTAACCCTGTGTACTGCTTACACTATATGATTGTGTGCTACTAACTTTCATATATCTATGAGTTACCTATGACGTGTACCCACAACCTACAGTTAAATTTTATTTAAAATAAACTGACTGCCCCTCATTTGTTTGACTTTCTGTTGCTCCACTAGTTTTTGTTGTTTTAGTTTTTCTGAGACAGGGTTTCTCTGCAAATCCCTGGCTGTCCTAGAACTCGCTCTGTAGACCAGACCGGCCTCCAACTCAGAGATCCTCCTGCCTCTGCCTCCCAGTGCTAGGATTAAAGGCATCAGATGTTATACCCGACTGCTTGGATACTTTTAAATGATGCAGTTTTAAACGTTTCTTAGTACAACAGCTCTCCCTGAGTCTACTCTGAAATGGAATGTCCAGGTCAAATAAAAAGTAGTGTTTATAGTGTGTGACTAGATTGCCCTACATACAGAAACGGGGTTTGCATTTATGATGCTTAAGCCTTTTAGCAATATCTTTGTGCTTCCTTATTCCCCCTTGATATGTTTTCTTTTACTTTTAAATAAATGTCTGAGGTCAGAGCTGGGTTGGTAGAGTGTTTACCCTGAATGTACAAAGCACCAGGTTCAATCTTTTCACATTGTATAAACTGGACACCATGCTACACACCTGAAATTCCTACACTCAGGATGTCAAGGCAGGAGGATTAGAAGTTCAAGTCATCCTTGGCTATGTAGAAGCTGAGGCGAGCCTAGGAGATTGTATGTGTGTATATGAGCCCCCCCCCTTTTTTTTTAAGAGTTTGATAGGATCAGGTAGTTAGGATTGCCTTATTGGGGGTTATTTATTTGTAAAGCTAAATCTTTTACTAAGTTTTATGTTTTTATCTAGTATTTGAACTATATTCAAATAATTAGACCATTATCTATTAGAAACAGGGTATTAAGCCAGGCAGTGGTGGCGCATGCCTTTAATCCCAGCACTCGAGAGGCAGAGCCTGGCGGATCTCTGTGAGTTCGAGGCCAGCCTGGTCTACAGAGTGAGTTCCAGGAAAAGGTGCAAAGAGAAACCCTGTCTCAAAAAACCAAGGGAAAAAAAAAAGAAGAAAGAAATAGGGTATTGAGAGGAAGAAGAAGAAAGAAATAGGGTATTAACCTCTATTTAGTTATTATGAGAAGATACAAAGTAGAAACAAGCTTCATTAAGTCTTCCTCATTCATTTGCCAGCTGCGGGATACGCCACACGTGAATTCACTGTAATGTATTCAGCTTCTGTCCAGTACATGGGCATTTAGGTGGTGTATTAGTTAGGGTTCTCTAGAGAAAGAGAACTGGTTGAATGAAAATCAATCTCTCTCTCTCTCTATCTATCTATCTATCTATCTATCTATCTATCTATCTATCTCACTCACTCACTCACTCGCTCACTCTCACGCACACGGGATTTATTAGAATGGCTTACAGGTTGTGACCCAGCTGTCCCAACATGGCTGGCTCCCAGTGGAAAGTCCCAGAATCCAGTAGGTGTACCCATCCTCCCGGGGCTGGAGGCCCTAATGCAGTGAAAGGATGGACTGCCAGTGAAAAGGAGAACAAGCTTCCTTCTTCCGTGTCCTTATGTATGCTGCCAGCAGAAGGTGTGACCCAGATCAAAGGTGGGAATTCATCCCTCCCAGGTGTGTCCAGCCACATGGATGTTAGTTCCAGATGTGGTCAGGTTGACAAGAATAGCTGTCACAGATTGGCTTGTATGTCATCTTTGTGCAGGTACCATGCTGATCTTCCCTGTATTGTTCCAGTTTTAGTGTGTGGGCAGGGTTTTCTTATTTTGTAGCTTAGCAGTATCTAGGTCAGGACTAAAACTCAGATCTTTTGATAGGAATGCTGTGCTTTCTTCTGACAAATTAGTTCTTTTTTAAATTACGACATTGGAAAATGTAATAAATAGCAAGATTTTGGGGGCTTAGTGTTAAGAGCACTGGCTGTTCTCGAGGAGGGGACCCAGCATCAGTTCCCATCACCCATATGGTGACTCAAAATTGTCTGTGATTCTTATTCTAGGAAATCCAGTTTCTACTTCAGGCCTCTGTGAGTTCCTTCATGCTTGTTGTGCACATTAGCTCATGAAGATACACACTGCACATACAAGTAATAAGTAATTAAATAAATCTTTCTGTTTGGTTCTTGACAAGTGTGGGGGTGTTTTTGTTTGAGACACAGTTTTAGTGTGCAGTCCTAGCTTTCCTGGAACTCACTATATAGACTGGGCTGACCTCAGACTCACAGAGATACACCTGCCTCTGTCTCCCAAGTGTAGGAGAGGTGTGCATCACCATGCCTGGTGCATAAATCTTTAAAAAAAAAAAAAAAAAAAAAAAGTAAAAGATTTTTAAAGCCAAAAGACCTTGGAAAATGCACCTGTAGTCATCAACATTTGTGTGTGTGCTCTGGGCTCTAGAGCACCTTTCTCTAGAGGCTACACAGGGCGTCAGATTTTACAGTGCCTGTCAGGTATTGGAGCACACATACTAATCTTTTGAGTAGACCCAAAGCACTTATTACTGTTGGTTTCAGAGCCAAAATGGCTTTAGGCTAGCTTTTATTCTTTCATTTCTTCATTTGATGGTTGGAGTTCGCTTTAAAGAGAAAAGAAAAGGACAAAAACGCAGTTGCTGTGGCTTAGTGCACCATGAGAGAGAGAGCCAAGTGAAGTAAGGATAGTTGTAAAGCAGTCATTATCATCTACCTGCTTATTTTTGGAACAGTAATTTGGATCAGTCTAACTTGTTTAGCATCTGAAGACAAGTTAATTTTTATCTGTGAGATGAAGTACTGTAGTTTTGTGTTCAGATAATTAAAGTTCACCAAAATGGGAGGCTTAGAGAACAGCTTAATGGCTTCCTCTAAAAATAATCCATTCACAGTTGATAGGTAGCATTTTGGTTGCTTAGCGTTGTGTACAGTATGTGGTACTTTTACATAACCACTTTATTTAGACAAATATTATTGAGTCTTTGCCATGAGATATGACTGCATGACAGATAGCTAGAGAGGATAGAGAAAAAAAGCTAAACATAATCAGGAATTCTATACCAAAACACAGGGAGATTGTGGAGGCAGGGCATTCGATCTAAAGATAATGTCATTAATCAAAACCTGTTCGGAATATTTCCCTTGGAGTTGCCTTCATTATCAGACACAAACTGTGAAGGAAACCAGCCCCTTAATTTTATATCACAGCTCAATGTGTGTAGGGGTGCATGTTCTTGTTGGTTGGTTTTTGGTTTGTTTGTTTGTTTGTTTGTTTTGTTTTGGTTTTTGATTTTTTGAGACAAGGTTTCTCTGTGTAGCTTTGGTACCTGTACTTGATCTTGCTCTTGTGTGGCCATGGCTGTCCTGGAACTCACTCTGTAGACCAGGCTGGTCTTGAACTCAGAGATCTGCCTGCCTCTGCCTCCCAAGTGCTAGGATTAAAGGTGCGTACCACCACCACTCAAAAAAAGATTTGTTTTTTATGTGTGTCTGAATTAGTTAATGCCACAGGTATATGGCTGCACATGGAAGTCAAAAGTTGGGTATTTGGTCCCCTGGATGTTTAATAAAGGTGTTTATGAGCCACCTAGTATGGATGCTCAGGTGCTCTAAAAGAGCAGCAAACATTCTCAGCTGTAGAACCATCTCTCCAGCCCCCTACTTTTTTTTTTTTTTCTTTTTTGAAACAGGATTTCTTCCTGAAACCTGGGACTCGACTGTTGGATTAGAATGACTAGCCTGCCATTCCCAGGAGTCTGCCTGTCTCCACCTTCCCAGGACTGAGATAATTAGCACACACCACCGTACCTGGTTTTTCGTGTGTGCGCTGAGGATCTGAACTCAGGTTCCCATGCCTGTGTAGCATGTACTTTACCAGCTTGTCTTAATTAGGGTTTCTGTTACTGTGAAGAACACCATGATTTCGGCAGCTCTTAGAAGGGAAACATTTAATTGAGGTCATAGCTTATAGTTTCAAAGGTTCAGTCCACTATCATCATTTTGGTGTGCAGGTAGACATGGTGCTGGCCACATCTTGATCAGAAGGCAACAGGAAATGGACTGTGACAGTGGGCGGTATCTTGAGCATAGGAAACCTCAGAGCCTGCCCCACGGTAACACACTGTCTCCATATCTAACTCCCAACAAAGCCACACCTAATAATGCCACTCCCTATGAGTTTATGAGGGCCAGTTACAAACTGCCACACTACCACACCTACTGGGCTCCTTTTCTCCATTTTCCTCAGTCTTTTAAACATCCTCTCTGCAGTATAATTTTTATGCAATAAATTGCATCTTTTGGGACAGGGTGGGAAGAGAGAAGTATAGCTTAGGGTATGGCTTGTGCTTAAGAATATATGAGGTCCTGAATTTAAGTCTCAGCACCAAGAAAGGGGGGAGGGGGATAAAATGATTTTTTTAACTTAAGGCAGGATCTATGGAGCTCTGGCTATCCTGTAACTCACTGTAAACCAGACTGGCCTCAAGCTCACAGTGATCATCCTGTCTCTGCCTTCCAAGTGCAAGGATTACAGGGGTGTGCCACCACACCCAGCTGAAACGCTTCTTTATATAGTTAAATCTTAGAACCTGTGTAACATATGCTTGTGGAACCACCACCACAGTGAAGTCCCCGAACATTCATATCACCACAGAAGATCTCTTCCTCCTTTACAGTGTATACCTCAAGCAACCAGAGACCAGTTTTCGTCAGAGGTTACCAACAGCTTTCCTAGAAGCTCATATAGATTATTCCATTTCATATGGAAAAGAAAATAAGTACTGTCTGGTTTTCCTCAGATTCATTGTGTTACCTCACGTCTCAATCTGTTCCATGGATGGATATACCTCATATTATTATTTTCACTCTTCTCCACTTCCCTTTTTCTTTCCTGTTTGTTTATTTACTTAAGTGGCAGTGGTGGCGCACGCCTTTAATCCCAGTACTCCGGAGTTCAGAACAGCCAGAACTACACAGAGAAATCCTGTCTCAGAGAGAGAGACAGAGAGAGAGAGAGAGAGAGAGAGAGAGAGAGAGAG